CTATCTAAGTATATACACTGCTTTTCAACGGTCTCAATCAAGACAAATGATCATAAATAAAATTTTTGGAGGAAGCTGGTCATAAAGAATCCAGGTTTGGACATCATTTTAATCACACATCTGAATAATTAGTCTGTCCAGAATGTAGATGTTAAATGAATTGTTTCAGTGAGGTCATCTACGTTATCTCGGAGAGATTTATTAGATCCCTCTCACAGTGGTATGAACAACCTGCAGAATTTGGGATACAAAAATGTCTTCACACTAATGAGGACTAATACTCCAGAAGCAAGCACATTAGGTAACTAAGCTTCTCCCATGCTTCCCTGAAAGAATCAAAGACAGCAGATAGCAGGTACTGCATTAAGTCATGGGACTCTAGAGCCTTCTGTTGTTAGAAAGTCTTGACAAACCAAAATGCCTCGGATCTAGTTCCAAGAGTGAGTTGTGGACTCAGAGCCATCTTTAGCTGGATCCAATCCAGAGATGAGGGAAGTCCATAAAGAAAATAAGGACTTGAACCCAGCTCTCCCAAGGCCCAAACTAGGACCTTAACCATGACACCATCCTTCTTTTCTGTAGTCTTCTATTAGTAGAGGCCTACCCAACTCAATGAGGCAGCCGGCAGATTTCATGGGCGGATTATGGGATTGGCTGCCATTTTCAAGGGTGGCTTATCGTGGCCCCTCTGATTGGCTGAGGAGCCCCAGTAGCCCTACTCCTTGCCCCTGATTGACTGCGAGGGCTATCTGTCATACAGCTCTGCTCATCACTGCTAATTATTTGTGAGCTGTCCATCATGCAGCCCTGCCCTCTCACTGCCAATTAGTGGAGGGGGTGGGGCTGCATGACGGGCAGCCCTCTCAGCCAATCAGCGGCAAGGGGTCGGGGCAGCTCCCATCTTGGGCTGCCCTGCGTGCCTCCCCTTTTCCTCCCGGCGGGTTGTGCAGCTGGGCCGCAATGCTGTGTGGACTGCTGGCTTTCTCTGAGGAGCCAGCATTTTATTTTCAGTAAGTTTTCTTTTCTTTTTTTTGTGGAATTCCCAGACATTGCCTGCTTTCGCAGATATTGCCAAATTTTGTGTTTTCCACAAAATCACGATTTCGGTAGGTCCCTATCTATTAGTGCTGATTGAGCAGAATTAAATCACACATTCTACCCTAAAACCTCGGAAGTGCCATATCACAGCTGCTCAAGGAGTTATAGTTGGATGATGTAGCTGGGGCTGGTCCTGCTTTGAGCAGGGGGTTGGGCTAGATGTGACCTCCTGAGGTCCCTTCCAACCCTCATTTTCTATGAGTCTATTGACCCTGTAACACAGTGGTTCTTGACTTTTTTAGACAGAAGGCACCTCTCAGAAAAATGCCAGCTGTTAGCTTGTACTTGTTTTTTGGCTATGGGAAAATATTAGAGCAATCGTTCTGCTGCAAAAAACTTAGAAACACTACAATGGCTCATAATGTTTTTGACACTATGGATTCCTATTTTAAATTCCTGGGTTCACCTTGGTTGTAACTAACAGTGCCAATAAATATGGTGCAACACCCCTAAGAGGATCTCATGGCATCCCAAGGCACTATGATAACTAGTTGAGAATCACCTCAATATATGGAGTAATTTCTGTGGCTGAAGTAAAAAAGTCCCTGAAAATGCAGTGGACTAGCAGCTGCACCTGATTTCAACTGTTCTGAACTTGCATTGCCAGCATATTTTTTTCTATATTACTGGATGATAGAATCAATGACAAGCAATAACGTACGATAAGGACTGTCAACCTGGTGTTGGTTCTAGCCAATACCTGCACAGATAAATCAGTTCTTTAACTTTGTTAGCATTATAAATCATAGATCATTGATAGTACTTATCATAATACAAGCAATCCTATTCCAATATTGTCAATCTAAGAATTCAAGAATTATAAGACACCAAAAATTATGAGGGTAGCTTCAAAAGATGAGCTGTTAAAAATGCATATTTTTACAATTTCTCTTCAGCTATTGAGCTTCTGCAGCTCACATTTTCATTCTGTTCTCTGCAACCATGAGGACTGAAATTTCACCCTATTTTCAGGCAAGTTGAGGTTCTCACCTAGTCACATTTCCAGACACTGGAAAACAGCAAATATTACAAGATCTGTGAGAGACCCATAGGAACTAGCAACCCTGTGTGAATTTCCATTACACCAGACTGAAATTGGGGTGTGACACTCTGCATGTGCAATACACATTTTATGAATTTGCAGGAGAACTGCTACCATCACCTGGACACTGAAACAAGATCACACAGCGAATGAGAGCCAGGACTAAACACAGGAACCTGATTCCTAGTTCCATAAGTAGAGAAGTAATTAGCAGCGCTAGTCTGAAATCAGTCAGAAAACAGGGTTGATACACATCTTTGCAGACTAACTAAATTATATGCATGTGTGTAGTGTGTTTAAATATGTGTACGTATATGACCGTGTGTTAAGGTGACCAGACGCACAACACTCCCAGCCCAGACCAATCTGTTTGCATACAGTATATATTTTTATTCTCCTTTTGTGAATAACATAGATAAAACACATGTTTAAGTGGGTATTGTTAAAAAAACAAATAGGTATTTTTGGCCACAAGAGGTATAGAGCAGCACCCCCCAACTTTCTGTCTAACCCACCTCAGCCTTCGCCAGGGAAGAGGCTGGCGCCACCTCTGCGGGGAGGGGGCATGTGTCCCCCATGCTCCCTTGTGGGGGTGCACATAGTGGCGGCAAGCCACCCCCCACATGCCCCACACCCAATCACGATGTGTAGAGAACGCTGGTGCACCCCTGACAGGTCGCACTCCCCATTTAGACGATGGGCAGGGAGGCAGGGAGGAGCACCAGTGCTCCCCCTACAAGCACCGGCTGGAGAGCGGGGGCACCAGCAAAAGCAACCATGTCGCTTCTGGAAGAGTGAGTGAGATCGGCTGTTGGGGGGACCCTCCCCCGGTCACTGACTGGTGTCGGGGGGGGCATGTGCCCCCCTTGACTCAAGAGGCACCAGTTGCCCATGCCTGCGCCCCTTGGACCAGCTGCTTTTGACTCTGTCCCACTCCATGACCTAGCCCCATGCACAGTCCTGGCTGGGCAGTGCCCCCAGCCCCTGCCCCACTCTCTCTCTTACTGTGGGGGGCCTGAAATGTAGTATCAGACATAACAGGTTTATGGAACTTCTGCCCCAGACCTGTACCTGGTTTAAGTTAAATCAGAGTCCTCCAGCATCTGACCACGCTCTGCAGCCCTGGGCTGGGCTGTGCTGTCTGCTCCAGCCCTCTGCGTTGTAGCTGGAGCAGGGGTGGGAGTGCCGCCACTTGCCCGTGCCTAGGCTAAGCACCCCTGACAGGGGCTGCTGCGCCCCAGCCAGGCAGACCCCAGCTGCGGTCGCCTGGGGGAGAGAGGGGAAGGAGGGTGTAATAAACCCTGTCCCTGTCCCTTTTGCCTCAGGCAGCTATGCTGAGCTGGTGTCTGGCCATGCCTGACAGGGATCCTGACAGGGGCAGCAGCCCCATGGTGTCCTGGGGACTGCAAGCCTCCTCCTAGTGGGAGGGCTGTGCTGTGTGGGTGGGAGCAGGGCAGGCAGAGCTGCCCCAGCCTGCATGAGGCAGGTGGCAATGGTGGGGCTGGGAGGGGTGGTTATGGGGGCTTAGGTGAATTTTGGGGTGTCCATAGCCCTCCAAACCCCCGCGCCCCCACCACCCTTCCCAGCCTTGCCACCACTGCCAATCTTCCTGGCTCAGCCCTGCAGCCACAGACCCAGGCCTGGGCGAGGCAAGCTGATGGCTGGGCTGGGTCGGGTCACGGGGTCAGGGCCCTTCCCAGCCAGCTGTGGCTCAGGCTGGGGCTGCGGGAGCTGTGAACCCGGTTTGCTCCCGGCTCCCTGTGCCCAGCTGAGGCTAGGCTGTCAGGGAGCCGTTGCAGTGGGCAGGGCCCTCCCTCTTGTCCACCACCATAGGGCAGGGGGCTCTGTGCAGCGCTGCCTCAGTGGCTCTGTGACAGCCCAGCCCAGCCTGAGCACCGGGAGCCAGGAGCAATCCAGGCACATAGCTCCTGCGGCCCCAGCCCCAGCAGCAACCGGCTGGGTTCAGGGCTCTACCCAGCTGGAGGTGGGGCTTGGGCTGGGGCCGCAGGAGTTGTGCACCCAGATTGCTCCCAGCTCCCCACACCCAGGCCCCCAGGCACACCTGGACTGGGGTCCCTGCAGGCCAGGGTGGGGGTTTAAACCCCTCCTCAATCATCCTCCGGCCTGTCAGGGCCTGGCTACACCTCCCCCCAGCACTGCGGAAGGGAAGGGAGGGCTCGCTCTACCACCCCCGGCTTCTGCCTGAGTCTCAGCGGGCACGTGGCTGTATTTCCAGAATCAAAAGTGAATGTCTGCCCACTTGCAAATCGGTTCAATCTACGCATCTTAGACCAATGTGCAAAGCCTGAATCGAGCTTTGTGAATGTCTGTATTTAGCGTGGGAGTCGGGGTTACGGGATAACGGACACGCATATTTTATTTAGCTGGTCTAGACAGGTGCAGCTCTTCCCTGCCTTCTCCCAGGCCCAGATCAGCCCACCATCCCTGACTCTCCCCATCCCCCATTATTGCAGAAAATCTGGATTCCTCTTTACCCTCAGTCCAAGCTCCTCTCCCACCACTTCTCTCTCGAGGGGAGGGGAGAGAAGGGACCAATCCCAATCCCAATCTCCATCCCCATCCTGCTTGACCAAGCCCCGCCCCCTCTGCTCCTCCCTTCCAGCCGCAGCCCTTCCTTAGGAGTCCATCTCCCGCCTGACAGTAGCGGGCGGCCCGGCGGCGCCGCGCCACGCAGGGGAAGGGCAAGGCGGCGCAGCACTGCCTCAGCTGCCCCTGGGATTGCGGCACTGCGGGGCGGG